TTCCCTTCACCCCAGGTGGCTGTGTCTCTCCCACACATTGTAAGGAACAGGACAGTCCCTCTGATGTGCTGGTACCTGGCCACCATGCAGATCATGTGGGGAGAGAGGCAGGCTGCTTCAGGGAATCCTGCCATAGAGGCTGAGTGGGAGAGAACGGGAGCTCAGATGTGAAGAACAAGGACAAGGGAGCAAGGTAGAGCAGTGCAAGTGTTTTCAGAGTCAAAGTAGGAAACTGTGAGAAGCTCATCTTAGAAGCCCTCTTCTCTGAGCTATCCCAGTAATGTGATTTTATTATACTATTGGACCCTAAGATAAAATTCTTCTACCAAAAAGAGGAAGATTGACTATTTTCCCCATCATTAATTTTGGTAAGTGTTTTTGAGTCTTATTCATATAATAAAAACTAGATGGAAAAACAGCTGACAAATGTGTGTGTGTGTGTGTGTGTGTGTGTGTATGTGTGTGTGTGGGTGTGCATGTGTGTGTGTGGGTGTGCATGTATGATATATATCACACATCTGATATATATGTGATATATATTATACGTATGTATCATACATATCATCATATATGCTTGTTGGTTCTGCTCAGCTTTCTGTTCCCACATGAGTATAGAATTTATGTTGAGTTTTGCAAAAGACAAATCTCCCCACTCAAAGCTTTTTGCTCATTCTGGGATTCAACAGTATCGTAAACTACCAATGTGAGGCAAGTTTGGACAAACGGGCAAATGAAGAGTGCTGATAGAGACAGACCCTTGGGAGACTTTGCTATTGATGATTCCTGGATTGAAAGTCCCATCAAGGAGCTCTTGCAGTGGCTGGCTTCAAACACCTCTGGTAGCTCCCACAATGACTTGCACATCTCTACTCTGACCCTGGGCTCAGCACTGAGGCCTGAAAATACTTGCATTTTATTTTCTGTAAGAACAGAGATAATCAATCCTGTTTTCATTCACGTTTCTTCCTATTTTATCCCTTGCCAGGACCCCCTGAGGCAGATCTCAGGTAATTCTGGCAGTTGCAGGCTACCTCAGAATATGGCTGTTTTTTGTTTGCTGTCTGGGTCCGGTCCAGGCCAGCTTTATGGGGGACCTTTAATGTTCTCATCCTGGGCTATCACGGACTTCACAAAGAAGGAATATCTGGTGTTCTAACAAAGTTATTCAGGAACAGAAAGAACAGCATTGGTATTCACTTGTCAGATATATATTTATTAAAATAGGGCTAAGAGTTGGAAATAGAAAGAAATAGATAATCCCTGCTGGGGAAAGGCCCACATTGTTGTGGGAAAGCAGACATGGAAACAGGCAATCACAAAGTGGTGTGCTGCTAGTAGACAGGTATGCATGCAGTATAATAGCAGCATAGAGAACGAAATTATCTCCCGTGTGAGAAGGAGTCATAAAATAGGTGAGAACTGAGTTTAGCTATAAGGAATAATCTAGGGTTCACCAATGTAGGAAAGGGTAAAAAAATAAACAGACAAAAGACACAGCATATGTAATACTGCAGAATATGTATTATGCTTAATCTCATGTGGGATAAGGTGTAGTTTATATTTGCCTCTGAAACCATTGCAATTTTCCCTTCACCTGTTGGATTTGTTGTTTGTTTTGAGAAATAAACAGATAAATAAGGAGGAAAGAATTAAGGGCAGAGTTGGTTAGAGAGATAAATAAGAATAAAAGTAAATATACTACACCCTTGCTTACATTATTACCACACTAGGAGAAAGATGAGAAAAATCTCCTTCAAAGTCGCTGATTCATTTGTGTAAACTCCTAGGAACACCTAGCAACTTCCTATTATTGAAATTGTGAAACTGAGCCTGGAATGGGACATTCTATCTCCACCTTAGTCATTGATCCCCTTGAGTCAGAACAGTGCTTCATGGAACCCAGGAGATTGCCTAGTGCAGGATTCATTCTTTCTGTTTCCTCCAAAGTGCCAGCAAAGCACCTTCAAGTGGAGTCAGCTGATCTGAGCAGCATTTGAGCTTGCAGTGCTCCCATGAGTTACAAGTACCTGAATTATAGGCAAGATGTACACACAGAGATAGACACCACTGACTCCATGAGGCCCCCAACGGAAGAAGACTTCTTGGTCCGTGAAGGTATGGTAATACACCTGGATCCTTCAGCAATGGTCTACAAAAGAACTTTCCCTGAAGAATAGGCTCCTGAAGGCAACATTATTTATGGAAAGCGAAGCAGTACAATGAAGGACTTGGCCTCTTCCTTTATCCTGGGCTCTGAGTAACTCCCTTGGGAAGGCTGTCCATTCATGGCGGTCAGAGGTTATGTCCAAGTGTTGTTTGAGGGGAGCAGCAAAGAGCTAACTGCAGGTGTGGGCATGCCCCCTCCTCCATTCTAGACCTTCTGGAGAAGGCTGTGCTTCCTGAGAAAGGCCTAATGAAAAGGATCAAGCTCACACAGAGGCCCTGCTGTGCAGGAAGATTGCTTCCAAGAAGCGATTCATTTTTAGTTTAACAACTGTGCATTTGGTCCCCACACAATTTATCTTCATGCAAAATCACATACCTGTGTGCCAGATGTGCACAGCTGTATATGAGCAACTGCTGATCTATCTGTATCACATGCCAAGTGCCTGTTTCTTTAAATTAGGGTGGGTTGGGATTCGGGCCGTGTGAAAATTTCATTTTGAAACCAGAAACCAAGCAAGCCCTGACTATACAGGGGGCAGTGGGTTGGGGGTTGTGTTGAGCATAGCATCATGATGAACCAAAGTGGAGTTAGTCTTTTCCAGGACCCCCCAGAAACTCTCCCTTTCATGACCCCTAAAATTCAGCTGCATTCTAGGTCTGGAGAGGTTAAGCTATCTGGAGACTTAGTTCTGCCAAAGAGTGCGGCCCTTGTAAATGCCTGTGGTGAAACTGCAAAACCTCTGCCCAGCCCTCAGGAGCTCTTGAAGCAAAATAGAATTTGACATTTTTAGATGGTGTTTCAGTTTTTACCGTCTGGATTCAGAAGAAGCAATACCACAATACACAAAATGAAGGCTACTACCCCAACAGCAGGGCATTGCAATCTACCCAAGAGCAGGAAACTGAAGTGATGAGGGGACCGTTCCTCTGGAAACGCTCATCTTTGCGTGCACTAAGGGATCCACAGCAGAACTTGTGGACATTTTGCCTCTGGCCTTGCCATTTGTCCTTTTGTGGCCAAAGAAAGTCAATAGGAAAAGGAGACTTACCCATCATTTTGTCAGTTTACGACTTATTTTTGAGTATCCGCTAATGCTAGGTGTCCAGGTAGATATCAACAGGAGGTTCAGGAGAATAGTGCTTGACCCAGAATAAATATTCAATATATGCTAATTGCTGATAAGATGATTGCAGAGGTACTTTTTTTTTTTCTCCAATTTTTGAGGACCTAACAGATGCCAGGTACTATGCATAAAGTCCCCTCTTACAGGCAATATGACCCCTATACTGCCAGTAGGAAAACTGGGGCTCAGAGAGGTTAAAAAACTTACTAAAAAAGTCACATATCTCCTACAGTATGGTGGAGTTAGACTTAAGATTCGGCTGTGTTTAACTTCAAATTCTGTCTTTGTTCCATCATGCTGCTGTTGTTTCTTCTCTAGCTGTTCTCAGATCCTCAAGGGGAGGCTTCTCTCTCTGGGAGTGTATTGCCTTTGCTCCTTCTGGCCCAGGAATCTGCCCCTTTAACAGGTACCTGGATGAAAGACCCCAGAGCAACCTCCCCACAGTTACACTTCCCAGTTCCTTTCTAGTTCTCACATGGGCAGGCACTGATAAATCAGCTTACAGTACACAGGCTCAGTTTGAATTTCAACAAAATTTTCTAAAAACAGTAACCAGATGCAATTCAAATCACATTGTGTCCACATAAGGAATCCATTCCAAGAAAAGTCAGAGGATGCGTCTCAGTCAGATGAGTGGCTTCTAATCTTCCCTGGGCTTGTTTTAGAACTCCAAGAAAAAATAATATCCAGATTAATTTAAGAGTTCAGTCTTTAAATTTGGTTTCAGGAAAATTGCATATATAATTCAGTCTTATAAGGCTGACCCCAAGATCAAAGATTACTCAGGGGTAGTAGCTCCTAGACACCTGCAAGACTCAAAACAATTTCCTCTTTTCAGTTTAAAGAACTGTTTTAGACTTTGTTTTCTCACAAGCTACTTTGAAGAAATAGGCCACCATCCTGGGAGTAAAACAGAGTTCTTCAGGAATTACATCATCTATTTTTCAACAAATATTAATTTAATTTTGTTTAGTTTAACAAGAGTGCATGATCACAGATTTGATAACCAAATGGATGCCTTGACATAAACTTCGGTCCTAGTTTAGCTCTCTTCCAGGGAGAAAAACAAAGTCTCTCAAAGGTAATTGGTATATCAGTCTTCCAAAATGGAAAAAAAATAAAAAAAGAAAGGGTAGGCTTTCAATTTTCTTAAACATAAAACTCAAAATCCACATATAATACTAAACAAATGGTTTAAGGCATTTTATGTCATAAATGTGCTGCCATTATTTAGTTATGAATTTTTAGGTTCAGGAATTATGCTAAAACCCAAGGGTCATTATGGAATGTCTGTATATTTGATTTCCAAAGCTCCAGATAGGTTTTAATGTGTTCAATATTATACCACTGTACTCCCCAAACAATTTCTGTATCCTCAGAGACATGTCCTAATAGCAGGCCTCTGTGTCTTCTGCTTAGTGAAAAGTGTGAATAATAGCTCCAAAAAGAATATATATGTAATATATAGGTTTTTTTTTTTTTTTACTTTAACATATGTTCCCACATAGCCAAATAATTCAACTCAATACAGTTAACAACTTAGAAAAGGATTCACTGAATTTTCCAGGTCTCTTCATGACCAGAGTTGCTTTGTAAGGAGACCTAAATGTGAAATAATCAACATGTTAAAGTAATCTAGATGTTTATGATTTGATAACTCTTTGGTGCATTGTTTAACAACATGTTTTCAATTTACTTTCCTTCAAATAGCTCCAAATAACCCTGTGATTTTGGATGATTGATTATGGGAATGCTGCTTTTACTGTACATCCAAGGTAATTTTAAAATTACATCTTCTTTTCATTGTTAAGGGGTAAAATCATTTGCAGGTCTTGACATGATTTATCAGAGATAGAGGGACAAAGGGTCAGTCCTGGTCTTACTCTATTAGGACACTATTATATGATCCCAGAAGGAAAGCATGCAGCTCTGTGGAAACTGGGTTCTAGTTCCAACATGTCAATAATCGGTTCTGTGGCCCTAGAAAAGTCGTCAACTTCCCAGGTATCGCTTTCCTTCCATATGAAAACCAACAAAACAATTAGAATCAAAACTTCTTCCCTAGAGAATCTGATTCATTATGAGTGGAGATGGGCCCAGAAATCTGTATTTTCTGCTTAAGAACCTTACGTTTATAATCAGACCAGTTTGGAAAATACTAGATTAAATAGCTTCTAAGTCCAAGTCTGAAATTATGCAATGCTAGAACCAAGATTTCCTGTTCTACTGACATTTTTTCTTTCGATATACTTTTCGATTTTTAAAAATTATTTATCTATCTTAGTGACAATCTTACTTCACAGTGACTGATGCCTGTTTCTCTCAGACACTGTGCTCACACTTGTATGTAAATAAGCCTACTAAAAACTTCACATTGGCAGTATATTAATTATAATTATTAATCATAGATGCTGTAACAGACAAACTCCCTAATCTCAGGGGCTTAACAAAGTAAAGATGTATTTCCTGTATGTGTAAAATCCTCCTTCACCTTGTAACTATGCCGTCCGAAATACATGTTCTTTATGGGAAGAGAAGGATGGGGAGACTCTGAATGACACCTATCTTAACACTTCTGTTCACAGTTCCTTGGTTAAAATATCACATGACCTGATCTAATTGAAAGTCAGGGAAATGTAAAGGAGCATATACACATCTGGTGAGCAAAATCATCCACAGCAGAGAAGCTAGATTTCACAGTTTAAGAAACTGCAGCTCAGGAAGGCCAATTAAGAGTAGGGTGGGACCACACTTGATGAAGAATGTCACCCTGGCATTTCATGCAAAGAAAGAAGGCAGAGTTTCCAAGAAGAGAATGTATGTTTTTACTTAGAAAGAAGATGTTTTTTCCCAAATATATAACTAGAGAAGTGATACTGTGAAAGTTGCCCTTGCTACGGTGTCTCTTTGCATGCTAAAATCAAAAGACATCTTTGTCCTTCAAGCAGGCAGATATTCCTAAAGGGGGTCATGGGGTCTAACGAGATTGACTTTGCTGTGATCTACAGTGAAAGTGACCCACTCATGACAATGAAATAGGGATCTCCAGTTGTCAAAAAAAATCCTTTTCACCTTAGCTTTTTCAAAATGTTCTCAGTACAGATCATTTCTTCACAACTGAACCTGTGAAATAACAGTTTTGCCCATTCAGAGTGTACCTGTCATAAACAGAGACTGTTTTCTTTCTGTCAATTTTTTGATGCTGAAAAACCTCTCAATAATTCAACAATGAATTTTAAGGGTGTGGATGGAGCCCAAAATCTGTAGCCACAGAATTCGGGATGATAGGTCTTGTGTTGGAGGAGCCTCTAGTCTGCAGCAAAACAAAACAAAATCACAACAAAGACACGGGGTGGTGCCATCCTCAGTGTACATCTGAATTAATAAGGCCTGGGGAAGGGAACAGGTACTTCTGCTGGCTTGAGGAGTCAGGACGGGCAGGGGAGAGAGAGAGAGAGAGAGAGGACAATGATTGATATAGGTCTGCATGGATGACATGTCATCAGTCAGATATACGGAGTGAGGTGGGAGTTGTGATGCATTCCAGGGGAAGGGAGAACTTGAACAGGAATGTTTAGGTGGCAGAGAGTTTTAGCATTTGGGAGAATGCAGTGGGAAGGTGATGGCTAGAAATATGGCTGGAGCTAAATATTAAAAAATCTAAATATCATCCAAAGGGGTTTGGTCTTTACCCTCTGTGCATTGGAGGTATCTGAGGTTTTTTTGTTTTTGCTTTGTTTCGTTTTGTTTTGAGATGGAGTTTTTGCTTTTGTTGCCTAGGCTGAAGTACAATGGTGCCATCTCAGTTCACTGCAACTTCCATCTCCCAGGTTGAAGCAATTCTCCTGCCTCAGCCTCCCAAGTAGCTGGGATTACAGATGTGCACCACCATGCCCAGCTAATTTTTGTATTTTTAGTAGAGATAGGGTTTCACCACGTTAGTCAGGCTGGTCTCGAACTCTTGACAAGTGATCCACCCACCTCAGCCTCCCAAAATGCTGGGATTACAGGTGTGAGTCAGCACTCCCGGCATCTGAGGTTTTTAACAAGGGGTTAAAATATGTGCCGTGGAAAGATCGTTTTGGTGTCCTGGAGAGACAGAATGTTGCACTTGCACAGCATCTTTAGATGAATCTAAACAATAGTGTAGAGCTGACAGAGAGTTAACTACACCCCAATATCTACCTTATTCTACTTACATATAATAATACATATTTAAGCCAGACATTCATCAGAAAGAAGATGAATTCCTCAGGTTTCCTTACAGTTGGTATGGCCATGAAACTAAGTTCCAGCCAATGAGACTTCAGCCTAAAGGCTGTGGCTGTTCCTGGATGTTTTTCTTGAAAGACCTCTGACACACACGGAGACATCACTTGTCTTCTTGCTGCTACTTAGAATGAAAATGAGAGGCCTACCCATTTGGGCCATTTTTTTGACAAGGCCAAGTTGAATGGAAAAGGTCAATTGATTTCTTGTTCATTTGAATTGCTTTCCCACTTTTGTTAAAAGTCAGTTGGGCATATATGTGGGAGTCTATTTTGGGGTGCTATATTCTGTTCCTTTGATCTATGTGTCTATCTCCCTGCCAAGAACACATTGTGTTAAACACTGTGATTATATAGTCAGTATCAGGTAGAGTAATTCCTCTCAATGTAGTATTTTATCACAAAACTTATGATCCATTTGAAGAAAAACACTTTACTTCATAACCTAAAGTGCACATACATGTGTATGCACATATACATGAAAAATGTTTCATGAAAAACTTACATTTATTATTTGTGATATATGCTTTTTTCTAACCTATTTTATTATATTCTATTTTTTATTGAATATGAGTTTATTGTAATTATTAACTTTTGTGTTTATTTTTAAAAATTTATTTATTTTACTTTAGGTGCATACTATATCTGGCATTTCTCCCCATATTATCCCTCCCTACCCTCCCCTCCCTCCCCACCCCTGCTGTCTCTCCCCTACCCACCCCCAACTGCCCCCAGTGTGTGATGCTCCTCTCCCTGAGTTCATGTGTTCTCGTTGTTCAACACCCACCTATGAGTGAGAACATACAGTGTTTGGCTTTCTGTTCTTGTGTCAGTTTGCTGAGAATGATGGTTTCCAGATTCATCCAAGTCCCAACAAAGGATACTAACTCATCATTTTTTATGACTGCATAGTATTCCATGGTGTATATGTACCACATTTTGTTTGTTCAGTCTATCATTGAAGGGCATTTGGGTTGGTTGCAGGTCTTTGTTATTGTACACAGGGCTGCAATGAACATACGAGTGCATGTGTCTTTATAGTAGAATGATTTATAGTTCTTTGGGTATATACCCAGTAATGGGATTGCTGGGTCAAATGGAATTTCTTTTTCTAGATCCTTGAGAAATTGCCACACTGTCTTCCACAATGGTTGAACTAATTTACACTCCCACCAACTGTGTAAGAGTGTGTTCCTATTTTTCCACATCCTCTCCAGCATTCTATTTTTTTCATTAAAAATACTGGTCATTACAACACCATTGGATAAAATGATTTCATAATTATCCAATGGATCTCTCGATCCACAGTTTAAGAAATACTCCACTAGAGGCCAGGCGTGGTGGCCCATGCCTGTCATCCTAGCACTTCGGAAGGCTGAGGTGGGCGAATCACAAGGTCAAGAGATGGAGGCCATCCTGGCCAGCGTGGTGAAACCCCATCTCTACTAAAAATACAAAAATTAGCTGGGTGTGGGGGCATGTGCCTGTAGTCCCAGCTACTTGTGAGGCTGAGGGAGGAGAATCTCTTGAACCTGGGAAGCAGAGGTTGCAGTGAGCCAAGATTGTGCCACTGCACTCCAGCCAGGGTGAGAGAGTGAGACTCTGTCTTCAAAAAAAAAAAAAGAAAAGAAAAGAAAAGAAAGAAAGAAACTCCACTAGAAGGAGAGGATAGTACATATTTACCATAAATCCACCATATCTCCTGCAGATGGAACTACAGTAGAAGCCTCATTGGAGGTGGAAGAAACAATGATGTTCCACTGCACATCAGGTTTCTTTCTGCCTGGCAGGAGGGCTTGTAGGGAACATGACACCCATTTTTGAGGATGTTCTCACCAGGAAAAAAATCTCCAGTCTCTAAATATGGGATTGGTTTTCTCTGAAAAATTAAAAAAAAAAACGTAAGAAATTTAAAAACTTCTTTTTCATGCTAATCAGCAGACCAATTTTTCTTTACATATTGTCTTTCATCCTTATATTATACTGCTCTAAGAGTTATGTTATAATTTCAATTTTCCATATTATAAAAATATAGACTCATAGAAGTTTAGGGACAGCTTTAAGAAGACTGAGAAATTTTGCTCAGATTTGCATTTCTGATAGGCAGCACAGGTCAGACTCAAATATGTGCCATGACCCTGAATCTCATGAATGAAACTAAATGAGAACTTCCATGTGGTCAAAGGTCAGGAGACTGTAAAGAAGGGAGATAGACTCTTTCAGAGGGTTTGCAAGATTGTTCTGAAGATGGCGTTATAACTGCCTATGTGGACCATGAAGCTTCTTTTGGGTCTCCGAGAAAGCCCTCATGGAGTGGAGCCACCGCACAAGCCCAGGACAGCTACAGCTGTTCTTCTACATGAGCAGAAAGAAAACTTTTATCAGGTTTAAACCGCTGTTGTTTTGGGTTTATGTTATTCACAGTTAAATCTAATCCTAACTGATACAACCGCTATCCTGCAAAAACGGTGGCAAAAAAATATATATATATATATCAGATATCCATC